TGACTGCTAACCAGAAGGCTGGCGGTTCAAACCCACCAGCCACTCCTCGGAAGGAAGGTTGGGCAATCTACTTCCGTAGTGATACTGCCTCGGACACTCAAGGAGGGGTCTCTATGAGTCGGGGCTGACTTGATGGCAAATAACATAACAACACACACACACACACACACATATAAAAGTAACTAAAGTGTGTGACCTTAATTCCATACAAAATGAGATTTTTCTGAAAGGCCACTTCACTGAAAAAAATGGTGCAGTATTTGGATATAGTCCCTTCATCCATGCATTATTGGACAGAGTGAACAGATAGGATCTTAGTAAAAAGGGAAACTTCTTTTGGTATTGCCTTTGGGAGAATTAAGGAGCTCTGGTGCTGCAGTTCCTAAAGCATTTGACTGCTAATTGGAAGGTTGGTAGTTCAAACCTACCAGCCACCCTGCAGAAGGAAGACTGAACAATCTACTTCCATAAAGATTTACTGCCTCATAAACCCAGTGGGGGTTGCTCTGAGTTGGAATTGATGGCATGGGTTTGGTTTTTTGGTTGGGAGAATTGCATTTATTAGAAGAGGCACTGACAGAATGGCTCTGGAGTCATCCCAAAATGTGCTGGATCAATAATAATAATAATAATAATAATAGTAAAGTCCACAGTTTTAAAATTAAGGTGATCATTTTTGTGTAAGAGGAATGGGACAGAACTGTGAAAGATAATAGTTTTTCATTGTGGAGAGGATTTCAGTGTGCCAGCATCTCCTCTTTTGGTCTCTTACCTTACAGCAAATTCCAGACGTATCTCCAACAGGAAGATACACCACCCTGGTGCCATTGATCATTATTTTAACAATTGCAGGCATCAAAGAGATTGTGGAAGATTTTGTAAGTTTTCATCTTGGCTAATAAAACCATTATATGGAGTACATCTTATTTGTTGCTTTAAGACAAGAAATGGGGTTGTAGCTTAACCAGCGTCTGCAAACTTGTGATGATAATTTTTGGGAGGGGATGTAAAGACCACTGTGTCATCAGGGCTCCTTTATGGATACATACATTAGCATCCTAAACACCTATACAGTGACACAGAAGTCATTCAAACTGTTTTCAAATGTTAGGTCTCAGCGTCCCCTTGGATGTTCTTGTACCCCACTTCAGAGCTTGCTAAGAGAGTAACAGATGATGTGTGGTCATTCTGGCTAGTTAAGGCAGCACTGGGCTGGAGCGCTTTTGTAAGAATATGTTTCCTCCTTACGTTTATCCCAGAATATAGATTTCCAAGTTCATTGGCAATAATATTCTCTCTTCCTCTTTCTTTATCTCCTCTCTCTTCTTCTCTCTCTTTACTCCCCTCTCTCTTCCACACACAAACACACCACACACGACACACACACACACACACCCTTCTGAGAATAGGTAAATAAATGTACACATATCCAAACAAAGGTACTTCGACCAAAGGTACTTCATCAGTATGATAAATTCAGTTGTTTGCTGGTTGGATGATCATCCTTAATAATTCATTTACTCTGGTCTAAAGCAAATCAAGAGAGAGAAGTTTATACTTCAAAGTGCTTCATAATTGTTAGAACCAGAATATATATCATCATTTAAAGTACTGTAGACTGCCTCTAAATCTCTTGTGTGCTGGGTCACAAAACCTCGGAGCTGAATTCGTGCTGTTGGCAGTTAGTTTCTTTGCCCCTGGTTGGTTTATCCAC